CCCCAGCCCCAGCCCCAGCCCCAGCCCCAGCCCCAGCCCCAGCCCCAGCCCCAGCCCCAGCCCTAACTGCATCCCCTCAGGTGCGGGTGCCCAGCAGGGACAGACCTGGGGCGTGGGAGACGAGACCGAAGAAGACCTCTGAGAGCCCAGCGTCCCCAGGACGAGAGCATAGAGGTCCCGCGTCAGCCGGGAGGGTGCTGGGGCCAGCAGGGAGGAGGTGGCTGGGAGCCAGGAATGGGCGCTGGCCATGTGCACTCTCAGGCAGTGCCCAGCTCGATGTCCCCACCCCACGGCTCTTGTCCCACTGTTGGCCAGGAAGTCTCAGCCTCCGAGTCTCCTGGCTCCTGGGGTCTCCCAGGACGCCGCACAGGGCCCTCTCCAGGCTCCAGGTCAGCTGTGGGGAGGCGCTTTGCTCAGGCCTGCTTGGGGGACCAAGGGATGGGGCGCTGTGGGATGAGGGCAGCAGGATCTGCCACAGAGCCCTGGCAACCCCACCTGACCTCTGCCAACCCAGATCAGGGCTGGGACAGAGATGGTGATGGCAAGCTCCGTCCTGGATGCTGTGTGAGGCTGGACCCCCGGCCCTGCTTCCCTGCCACCTCACTGGGTCCCCTGCAGAAGGGAAGGGACAGATGACCAAGCTGGGCAGGGTGCAGGCGGCGGGCAGCAATGCCCAGGGGGACCCACCACAGCCCATTCTGCATCCTGAGTGGAGCTGCCGGCAGGGACCTGGTCCTCCAAGCTGTGAGGTCCCCTGCAGGGCCAGCAGCCCGTCCTGGCCCCACCCCCTGGAAGGTGTGCGGGTGCAGCAGAGCCGGCAGTGCCCAAGGAGCAGGGCAGCTCCGTCAGGACATCCACGAGAGGCTTGCTGTCTCCGCTCGCTGTGTGCCTCCCGGTGGGCAGCTGAGCCTGGTGAGGGCACATGGCGTGGCGTGAGCAGCGGGAGCCCCTCGCCGCCCGTGCTTTCCCAGCAGAGGCACAGGGCAGCAGGAGAGGTGAAGGCTGGGGGACCTCAGCCTCTGCAGCCTCAGTTTACCCGCAAGAACAGCAAGCCTCTTCCCCGTTTCTGACCATGAGCTGACTCATGATGACTTCTGGTCCCTGAAAATGCGGAACCTCGGAGGAGACGCAGAGGCTGGGTGACGGGGGTGGCAGCCGCAAGGGAACAGAGGGAGTGGGGAGGCGAAGCATGTGCCCATGTGCCGCAGGGCCCCTCTGGGGAAGGCTGGTCCCAGGGCTGTGGGGACAGCATCCTGTGGGTGGGCCATGCTCAGACTTCCTGTCGTCCCAATATTCCGGAGGCTGAGGCAGGAGGGTTGCCGTGAGCCCAAGGACAGCTTGGACTGCATCATGAGACCCTGTCTCAAAGCAAAACAAAACAAAACAAAAACAAAACAAAACAAAAAAAGAGATGACTTGGCCGGGATCCTACAGGCCAGCTGCTTCATTATCTAGCTTTCCAATGTCTATTGGTAAATACAGTTATATAACTATGTTGCCATAATTAACACAACTATATGGCTATAATTATAGACTGACATGTAATTACTACTTTATTACTCTTATTGGGTTATGTGGCTTATCTTCTGAATGGGTAATAATAGTTCATGTGATTAAGAATGCAAACTGCACCAGAGGCTGCCTGTGAGGCGTCCTCCTTTGTGTTTTGAGGCCCCCAAGCAGGGCAGGGTCCTGGAGTGGTCCAGCCATGACTGTCCTTTGGCCAGCTGGCCTCAGAGGCGACCACAGCCAGTTATTTGCTTGGTCTCCTCTCAGAGACAGCCGTGTTGTCAGACCTCACAAGCCACAGACCCTTCCACCCTCTGCACATCGGTGTGTGGAGGTGTTTGTCACCCCCTGCGTACGTCGTATTATTTTTAGTGTCAGTTTGGCTAGACCAGGGTGCAGATCAGTGGTCAAACATTCTTTTAGACGTTGCTGTGAGGCTATTTTTAACATTAACGTTTAAGTCAGTCTCCTCTGAGTGGAGCTGACTGAGTCTAGGGTGAGGGTGGGCCGTGTCTCATCAGCCGAGGAAGGGGATGCTGCCTGTGAGCCCCCTATGGCCTGAGCCGTCCATAGCATCCACGCTCTGCACTCTCCAGCAAGGGCCCATCCTGCAGATTTGGGCATGGCCAGCCTCTACACTCCAGGGAGCCAGTTCTAACTCGAACCCTCCAGAGACTGGATTTGTCTGAAGAACCCTGGCCAGGACACGGGTTCTGCTCCCGCCTCAGCTTCCCACTCCCATGCCGCCAGCCTCCCCCCGTGCTCCCTGACATTTCGCAGTGATTCATTCCCAACACCTCCAAATCCCCGCTGTCGATGGCCCTACAGTCGTGTCTCCCAAGCGTGGATGTCTGTGTCTTTGCTGTGATGCTGGGTGTGATTTTATGATGTCTCACCTGTGTGATTATTTGTTTTACATTCTTATCGTGTCGCCCTGCTTTAAACTTCACAGTATTGTGGAAGAGAATCCTCCTGTCTTTAGGAAGCCCAAGCCCGTGGTGCAGCAGGCACTGCTCCTCCGTGTAAGGCTCAGAACTCAAAACAAGCACAAACAAGACAAAAGCAAGCCACAAACGAATCAACAAGAGCTCCAGCCGCGCTTGCTGTAAATTGGAAATTACCCCAAAACTTAATTCACTTCAATTCTGGCACATACCTGTAATCCCAGCGACTGCAGAGAACCGCAAACTGGAGGTCAGTCTATCTCACACTATAACGTGCACCTTCCAAAGTCAGCTGGCCCGGGACGGTGCCTGCATCCTATTAGGTCACGCTCATTCTGAGAGGCTCCACTTAACACATGTCTGTACTTCCTCTGTAGAACCCCCCAACGCCCTCCCTGTCTCTGCCTGTCTGTCTCTTTCTCGCTGTCTCTCTCATATTTACTCATTTGTTTCTCCTCTAATACATTGAAAGCTTAAAGTCAAGAGTTCGATTTGTTTAAATGTTGTATCCCCAGGTCTACGCGTTCGGTAGAGTTGCAGAGAAGTTCACTGATTGATCGGTGATTCATCTTCCAGCTGAGCTGTGTGGAAGTCAGTGACGCCTCCGTGTTCCGGGGAGAAGGGAGACGCGCTCTCGGTTGGGAGCCTGCTTGCACTGTGGAGCTTACCTGATTTCGTTCCTGAAGCAAGACTCCAACCAGAGCTGCAACCATAAGAGGTGTGGTGAATCTTGAAAAGTTCTCAAACTTGTCCGTTTTTACCTAATAGTTTTGAGGCCATTGCTCAGCATTTTGTGAAGTTTCTGTTGACTTTCACTCACCACCGGAGCACCTTATGAGCAATAAATTCTTGGGGCATCTGTCTCCGGATGCTTGCATTTCGGCAGGCTCAGGGTGTTTTAGACAAAGGCTTCTGCAGGCGCGCTGGGGTAAAGAATGATCCTGTAGGAATGTCTCCAGGTTTTCCAACTTCCCTGGCCACACAGCTGACTGGAAGCAGGTTTTAGACTGGGACGCCCCGGGCTCTGGCAGGACTCTGCCACCAGCTGCGGGCACAGGGGTGGCCAGGGCTCCTTCCCGCCTCCGGGTGGTGCTCAGGGCAGGGGCGGGAAAGGAGGGGCGGAGACAGTCCCATGACGCCTCCCCTGGGTTTGAAAACAGCCTGTTTCTCTTTTCTAGAGTCGGTTTCAGACCGTCCATCCATCTCGAGGCGCAGGCTCACAGGAAGTGCGTTCCATCAGCTCCATCGTGGCTGACCCGGAATGACTGGTCGCTCTGGGAGGGAATTAGGAGGCTGAGTCAGGGTGATGTGACCCTCCTCGTTTCTGGTTCCCTTTTCCTGCCTTATATTCAGACTGGCAGAAGCTTGGGAAACACGATTTATTCCTTGTACACAAAGAAGAACCTAAGGGAGACCTGTGAGTAGACTTTCAGAATCATCTTATTTCTAAGGTTTTTTTTTAAGTACTGGGGAATTGGAGGAAGGGTTTGGACTGCAGGGTCCTCCAGCGCCTCTCCTCACCCTCGGTGCCTGCGACACAAAGATCAGCAGACAGGCGTCCTAGCGCCCGTGTCTGAGCCGTGGCTGGGCGAGTGCCCCGTGACTCGTGTCCCAGTGACTCCGCGGCCTCGGAGGACGGGCCCAAGGCGCCCCGGGCGTCCCGCTGAGCAGTGCAGGGAGTGTCCTGCGGTGGTGCTGTCCTGTGCTCCGGCGCCCCTTCCGCTCCCTCTCTGCGTGGAGGCTGCCGAGAGGCGGAGCGGCTTCCTGGCCCTCCGGGGCCTGGGGTGGGGGACAGGGACACAGGAATCCTGCCCTCCTCCGACAGAGGCCTCGGCTGTTCTGGCAGCTGCAGAGAACAGCGTGTCCGGCCAAGAGCGAAGTTTGCAAGAGCTTGAAAGAAGGAACGGACGAAAAGGGGCGCGGACACAGCCCTCCCTCCTCCTCTCGTCCCGCTTGCAGGCGCAGGCGGCAGCGTCCACTCGGCATCACAGAGGCACAGCGGGCGGAGAGCGGAGGGGCTTGTTCCCTCGGGTTGTGGCCCAGGCGGCCGCATGCTGGCTGTCAGCGTCTCCAGCCGAGCCCTCGGTTTCACGTGGAGCTGTGAGCTGCAGACCGGCGGTGGCCCGAGCTCCAGGTCGCAGGCCCCAGACCCGCAGCCGAGCAGCCTCCTTTGCCCTCCTGCAACCCTCGGACCGCTCTGCCAGCCCCGCAGCTGGGCCCAGAGTGCTCTGGCCGGGTGTCAGCGGCTCGTTACCCTGCTGTGGTGGTGGCTGACCCGGCCTCGTCCTGAGCAGGAGTCCCCCGTGTGCTGCAGGGCAGTGCCCAGGCGCGGGGCCCCACTCCCGCGAGGCGGCCAGAGGCCTGGAAGTGGAGGCTGGAGCTGCAGCCATGGCTCACGCTGCTGCCTCTAAGAATTGGACCATCTATGTTTATTTGCTTTTGTAGCACTTAAAATGTTTAGAGAGCCAGGGGCAGGCTCAGAGCTAGGGTCAGGAGCAGGGTGTAGGCCATGAGTGGGGGCAGGGGAGGGGCAGGGGTCAGGGGTCAGGGGAGGATCAGGGTCCCCCGACAAAGCCGCAAGTGTGGTGCACACCTCTGCAGCCGTCTTTGTGCCTTAAGGTCTTTGTGCCAAGCCGTCTTTGTGCCTTAAGCCGTCTTTGTGCCAAGACGGGATAGACAGAGGCAGGCTGTTCCTTTGCCCATGACAGCAGCTCTGCCTCCTAGGTGGGCCAGTTTCTGGGTCTGCAGACCTGGCCCGGCTCAGCTCCTCCACAGCTCCTGAGGCTCGCTTCTGACCTCCCAATTACAGTCTCGAGTGGCGAGGGGTGTCCTTGCAGAGGGATGAGCTGCTGGAAAGCAGGGACCCTCGCACTGTGTGAGAGACGGGGAGTCAGGCATCGACACCACTGATACAGGAAGGAAAGGAGGAGAGACACAGCTTGGAGGAGCAGCAGCCCGCAGAAGCTGCCGGAGGAAACTGCGGAGAGGTCAGGAGGACTCAACCCACTAAGGACGGGAGAGGGAAATGAGACAGAGTCAGAAGGCTTTGGGCAAAAATAAATATTCCCAGGGCTGAGTGGAAACACTGTAGCTAGCGAGAGATGGGAAATGCTTGCAGTGCGGTTTCCAGTGCGGTTTGCCCAGGAGGAAGGGAGGAAGGTGATGAGGGGGAGCTCGCAGGGAGGGCAGGAAGGGCGCAGGGAGGGACTCGGAGGTCCAGGCGCCTCCGGACAAAGTGGTCAAAGGGCACGGTGCTGGGAAAGTGTTTGAGCCCGTTGAGCCCGCTACTTTTCAAAACTTAGGAGAGAGTACTCAAAGAAATCCAGACTTCAAAAAAAGTTTATCTTTTTTTTGTCACTGGGGATAGAACCCAGGTCTCTTGTACCCAAAGCAACTGCTGTACCAATGAGCTACACACCCAGCGCAGAACACCTAGGTTTCTGAGCAGTGTGGGGTGCATGTCTGCGATCTCAGCACTCTGGGAAGCTGAAGTGGGAGGATCGCAAGTTTGAGCCCAGCCTGGGTAATGTAGCAACTGAGCAAGACCCTCTATTAAAATATAAACAAACATCAAACAAACGAATAAATCAATGGAGGGAAGGGACAAGAAAGGAAAAGAGTATCTAGATTTCCAACTTCTCATGAAAACAGTCAGACAGTCTAGTAGCACAGAGTCTATAAGCAACCATGAAAAAATATCTGCTGGCCTGGGAGCTGCTACCCCAGAGACTTAAATGAGGTCCCAGGCTCTGGGCACCCCCAGTCGCCAGCCCCTGTGCCTCCTTATTTCCTTCACTCCTGAGTGCCTGTCCGGCCCTTGGGGTTGCTGGTGCTCTGGGCTCAGCTCTAGAGAGCTGTCGCCTGCCTTCCTGGTCCCTTTCTGGGGAGCCAGGGCCTCCAGTTGCTCTGGAGAGAGGGCTGCATCATGAGGCTCACAAGGCTGTGGGTGCAGAGAGCCCCGCCAGCATCATCCAGCCTGCACCTCAGGGTGCTATGCAATTGCGACCCCGGGAACACATTTCAGCCAAATGCGGCAGCTGTGTTTGAAGACAGGGGCCGCGGGACTCCCTGTCCTACCAGGAAAGCCCAGGGCCTAGCTTTGCAGAAGACCTGGGGACCTGGACTTTCCTAGTTGACACCTGCATCTCGCTAAGAGTCCCCCATTCCAAGCTCACGTCTAGGCCTGTCTGATCTGTAAGACTCCCCCTTGCTCCAAAAATAAAATGTGAGAATTGGGGTATCTGGTAGACCACGTCTTTAAGAAAGGACCAAGCGAATGGCAGGGGTGTGTGCAGATTCGGACTCACTGATTTAGCTGGAAGGAAGGAACCGGGCAAAGAGAGGTGAGCACATGGTTAACGAGCTGTTCCAGGTCCATCTTTGCATGTATAAAGACCAGATAAGGGAACCGCTTGGTTTTCTGTGGCAGCAGAGACGCAATGAGAAGGCACAGGCTGCATTTGCTGCGCCCCTTCTGCCCAGGAAGTGCCCCTCCTCAGCTCACTTGCAGGCAGCGGGCAGACTCAGTCGGGGAAGGAGGCGCAGAGCTGAGAGGAAGCCCAGCCATGGAGGCCGGAGCCACGCTCTGGCCCGGGAACCAGGAAGCTGTGTGTGCAGGGAACTGAGGAGAATGAGGTCAGAGCTGTTGCTTGGTAGGCAGACACGTGCCTCTCTCAGGACAAAATTGCAGCCATAGATTTTATTTAATTGATATTAGACTTTCTTGCAGAATGTTAAGATTTTAATGTGCCCTTAAATCTGTTTCCTGCTTTCCGAGGAATGCTCTGTATGAGGAATACACTGCGCAGGGAGGAGGCGAGGAGAGGGAAGACGAACCCACAGTCGCATCATTAATATTTCAGGGGGCAGAAAATGGTGCCGCACAAGGGAAATCAGAACAAATAACACAGCTGGGGTTTCAGAGCTGGCCGGCGAAGGCTGTGATTGGAGATGCAGGATCTTTGTGAGGCCAAGTGTTTTGATGCAGAAGAGAGCAGACAGTAGGAGCGGACTCGGGGTGTTCGGGTCAGCACTGAGGCCCGCCTTGGGGAATCTGGCGTGTTCCCAGCGGGACGGTACGGTGAGTGACCCAACCAGAGCCAGGCGTTAGGCGGTGCCGGGAGAAACCGCCCTGGAGCTGGGGAGCCCGCGAGAACCCACTGCCGTCTTCTCTGTGGGGTCCCTGGCAAACTGCACACGTGCTTGGAGCCTGTTTTCCATGTGGAAAGAGCAAAAGGCATCCATCTCTGGGAGCTTGGTTCAGAGCTGGGCTGCTTTAGGGAAAGTGCCTGCATCATAATAGGCAATTAGTGCCTGTCAGTGCGTGCGTTAGTCCATTAGCCAGCCAGCCCTTTGGGGTCAATTCCAGAGTAACGGCCCAGGATATGCTTGGGGACGGTCGGAGGGAAAGGCAGGAGCTCCAGCCTCACTCTGCTAGGGGTCCACTCAGCCGCTCCCCACACGGGGACACACCCTGGGCCGTGGGTGATGCTGTCCCTGACCTCCTGGGGACCGTGCATGCTGAGCACTGCCAGCTGTCCTCCACACAGGCAGATCTGACAGGAAGTGAGCTTGCTGGCCCTGCCCTGGTCACCCCTTTAGTTTGCTGTCCTCCTGGCGAGTGGGGCATCCTCCCGTGTGGGGTCGGGGTCTCCTGAGCTGGCCCCACACGGCACCGACCCTTCTTCCACACCCACCCATCTCCTTTCTGCTCACCCAACCCCTGCCTGGAGGCTGCACCCTCTGTGTCCTGCTCAGAGAGATTTAGACGCCTTCACTCCCACTGTTCCCCGTCTGATGCCTGCCCGCCGCCAGCCTCACTCGGCCCGAGCACGCGGAGTGCAGCTCACCGGCTCTGCAGCGGGAAGCCCCCAGCCCTGTCGCAGCTGATGTGCGAAGGGATTTATTTAAGAGTGATTAAGAACTGATCAGTGTCCTCATTACAATCCTGAACATACGGTCTGATGCTCATTAGATATTTTCCTGTCAATCAAGAGAGCAGAATCTCAGATTCACAGCCTTCCAAGTGAGCCCAGGTCTCTCCTCGGACCTCCCAGACCTGGATCTGAATGCTAACAAGCTGGCAGCCTTAACGCAAGTTCACTTTGATTATCCCTGATCTGGGCAAAAGAAAAGAATGATTAAGTCAAGGATGAAGGTATTCACACTCTCCTTGTGAGAGCCTCAGAGGAGACTCCTCATTCACTGTGTCCTGAGGGGCCGTTGGGACCAGCGGAGGAGGATGGCCTTGCCCACTTGCTGGGAAGTCAGGGACCTTGAGGTGGGCAGATGACCCCGGACCACTATGATGCCCTGATGTCAGTGTGAGTCCTTCTCAGAAGGGAGCGGCAGGACCCAAGTCATGGAGTGGGGTTCCAGCCTCCAGAGTAGTGAGCCAGTGCTCAGGCATCTCTGAAAGGCTTCGATGGGCTCATTTGTTACATGGCCCTGGGAGGCCAACGCAGCTGGGCTTGCTTACACATGGCTGAGGGCAGGGACGCAGGGAGCAGGAGGCCAGCCCCAGTTCTCAGGCCAGGAGATGCCTCAGCTCTTTCTGGGAGACAGAGAACAGTCCTCTTGCATGGGTGGCAGAGAGCAGCGATCAGCTTGCCAGCCAGCCCTTAAACCACTCCTGATCTTGGTTTCTTTTTAACTTCTAGGGACGCAGAGACATGGGCGTCTGGACTTCTGGCAGCAACACCCTCCAACATCTCTGGGAGATTTACGTTCGTCCGAGGAGCCTGGGGCGGGTGGACTTTATCCAGCACCTGGGAGTCTGTAGCCTGGTGGCCCTGGCTTCGGCGAGCCTGCTTTCTGCGGCTTTCTGTTGGTTCCTGCCACCAGTCGCAGTGGTCCCCGCCTGCTGGGCCATCACCTGGGCTCTGCTGTGCTGCTCCAGGCATGCGCGATGCTTCGTCCTCCTCCTCTTCCTCTCCTGCGGCCTGCGTGAGGGCAAGAAGGCTTTGATTGCAGCTGGCACGGGGATAGCGATCTTTGCACACATCGAGAATATTTTTCACAACTTTAAAGGTCTCCTCGACAGCATGGCGTGCAACCTAAGGGCAAAGAGCTTTTCCATACATTTCCCACTTTTGAAAAAGTACATCGAAGCCATTCAGTGGATTTATGGCCTCGCCACTCCCCCGAGTCTATTTGATGACCTTGTTTCTTGGAACCACACCCTGGAGGTCTCTCTGTCCAGCTCCAGCCATGCCCTGGAGGTGCAGCTAAAGGACACCAAGGGGGAGGTCCTGGGCGTCCTGTACCACATGGTGACCGTGATGGAGGCGGTCTCCTCTGTGGGCCGGAAGCTTCTCACCTGCGCTGGGCTTCTGCTCCTCCTCCTCGGCACCGGGCTCTTCCTGAAGCGGGTTCTGGGCCCTCGTGGCTGGAAGTACGAAAACGTCTACATCACCAGACACTTTGTCCGGTTTGATGAGGAGCAGAGGCGCCGGCAGAGGCCCTGCGTCCTGCCCCTGAGCAGGGAGGAACGGAGGACCTATGCAGTCGTGCCCTCTTTCCGGCTGACCCCCAGGGACAGGAGGGCCCTGGGGCTCTTCCTGCTCCCTGTCCTCGCCCACCTCTGCGTGTGGGTGCTGCTGGCGGCCGTGGACTACCTGCTGTACCGGCTCCTCCGCTCAGTGGGCGGACAGCTGCGGGGCCTGCCAGGGCTGGAGGTCCACCTGCAGCTGCACGGGGAGGTAAGGGCGTGGGTGTGAGACTTGAGACCTCCCTGCAGGGTACCCTTGGGTCCCCGAGCCTGGCAGAGAGCTGGCACACAGGAGGAGTCCAGCAGGCCTGATGATAGCTCAGGAGCCTAGCCTAGCTTCCCTTTGACCTCTAGGAGGAGCCCTCTGAAGCCAGAATTCCACTCCCACGTGTGGTGGCCAGGCCACGGTCTCTTTAGACGCGAGGGGAGAAGCCGCTCTCTGCCCTTTCCGTTGCTGGTGTTTTTAATGGGAAGCACTTTTAATGCACACCTGCTGTGATCTCAGAGTGCGTGTCCCTGGTCACCCTCGGAAAGCTCTTGCACGGGCCCTGGAAAGCGGGACCTGCTAAGCCAGTGGCTTAGCCTGGCCTCATTAGGTGTCGCCGTGGAACTAGCAGGGACTGAGGAACGCGCAGGGCTTCCTCCAGGGTCTCCGGGAGCGCTTTACCGGGGTGGGGGCTTCCCTCCCCTTTCCTGCCTTTCCCGTTTCCCTGTGGGGATTTGTGACGACACTGACCCTGCAGAGGCTCTGGACAGTGTCAGACCCTTGCCTTAGTTGTTCTCAACCCCGGAAACTGAACCTAATCGGGTAGAGCGTGTGCTTGAGTGTGTGTGACGCATGTGTGCACATGTATGTAAGTGCGCATGCGTGAGTGTGTGTGCACGGCGTGTGTGCATGTGTGTGCCTGTGTGTGTGCTGCGTGCTGGGTTGACACGCTGCCTGGCCAGAGCAAACACCGACAGCGTCTCCTTGTGTCTGACTCGCCCCCTCTGACAAGTTGCGGGAGACAGTGGAGGCCGCTGGGGAATCCCGGGGGGCAGATGCGACCCTGCTGCCTGTACCTCTGCCCCGAGCCTCTCTCTCCCCGCCTCTCTGGCTCCAGCCCTCCTGCTGCGCCCTCCTTGTCCCTTTCCTCCTGCCTCAGCAGATCCGCCCCCTGGCTCCTGCCCTCCTGGTCCTGGCTTCTCCTCCGACTTGATTACTGCAAGCTCTCTGCCTCCCTGAAGAATTTAGGTAATTACGAGACACCCTGTTGCTCGGACATTTGGAGCAAGGTGGATAACGGAAGTAGTGTTCCAGAGGAAAGCCAGGCAGAGCCTCAGACGGGCACCTCGGGGCGGCCCTGACAGAGGCCACCTCTCCCCACTTCTCCTTCTGTCTCCTTCACTCTTGTCTCCCTGCTCCATCCTCCCTGGCCTTCCTTCTTGTTCTTCGGCCGTCTCATTCCTGTTCCAATCCATGCCCGGCCTCCATTCCTGTTTTGTGATGTGGGCGGAGCAAGTTCTGCCTTCCCTGAAAACCCCCAGAAGCTTCCAAGGCAGTGCAGGTGCCTGACACATCATCCCGGGCACTTCTGGACATGGGTGCCCTACCCAGCCTGGGCTGGCCCCTTGGGGGCCTCAGGGCCTTGTTACCTTGCACAAGGTAACAGCAGCAGGGTGCCGGGCCGCAGAGGTGAGCTTGTGTGGGGGTGCCCAGCGCTCTGCACTCCAGCAGGCTCCTGTGTGACCCGAAATGCCCACCCGCCTTGTCCCAGGCCCCCGGAGTCCCCCTGGTGCCACTGCTGAGCTGCAGAGGAAAGTCAAGCAGGGTGGAAGCCGCAGCACGAGGCTTTGCCGGTATTTCTCTCCCACTTTCAGTGGTCACGTAATGAAGATGAGAGATGACCCAAGCTGAGCCGGCCACGGAGCGGGCTTTGTGACAGAAGCAGCCCTGCTGTGCTCTGACTGAGCACCTACTGTGTGCTGGCACTCTGCTGCCTGTCTTTTCCCAGCTCGGAGCCTGGAGCTCGCCTCCACCGTCACTCACGCCGGCTCGGCCCTGCCGAGTGTTTACTTAAGGGGAGTAAACAGGGTTTAAATCACCGTGGCACCATTGACCATATTGCCTGGCGTTTTCAAAGAGTGAGTTTGTCTTCCACCATTACCCTCCTCCAACCCCGCACAGAAATGTTGACGCCGTCTTTCTGAGGCCCGGACTCCCAGCTGCAAATAGTCCCCAGCTAGGTTTCTAGACCAAATGATGACTTCGCAGCCCAAGCTCCCGCTGCTTTGTTATTGCAGAACTGCTCATCACCGCCTCAACTGATGCGTTTGTTTCTCCAGTGCTATTAAAAAGGGTGTGCGCTTTTGCAAAGGGGATGGGACCTCTATTTAATTGCAGCCTGGCTATCTTTTTGAGGAGAGAAGAGAAGAAAGGCAAATGTTTCCCACGGCTCAGGCTGGGGGCTCCGCGCTCCTCACAGCGCGGTGGGGCGGGGAGCGGGCAGGATGCCCAGCGCTCTCCCACGTGGGGCCGGGGTTGGGTTGGTTTTGTTGCTTTGCTAAGTCATTTACCTCCTCCGCCCGGCTCGGCGGCGCTTGGGTGATAATAACTTACTAAGCACCCCGTCTGTGAAGTTAATGCTCCATCCCTAAGGTGCTTCATTTACACTGGGAGGAGTTATTCATGGGCAGAGCTGGTCCATTAGTTCCTGCTTTACCAAATTAGAAAACAAATCCACTGAGAGCTGCAGTGACTTTCCCAGGTCAGGGGAAGGAAGCGCTGAGTCAGCATGCGCCTCCTCTGAGGACAGCAGGGCTGGTGACTCGGTGTCACCTTCTGGCCTCTGTGATAGGGTTCTGAGGGCAACCGGCTTGTCTCTTGCCTTCAGACGGGAACGGAGGCCTCTGTCTGGGCATCTGGGCGGGGAAAACTGCCCGATTTTAGAGACCTCCTCCAAGAATGGACAGTCCCTTCCCTCCGCAAGGTGAGCTTGGGGTCATGTGTCCACCCGGAAGTGGCACTGAACACTGGACAGGAGCAGTCACCTACAGTTCCCAGCTCCCCAAGGCTGCTTGGGGCCGCATTCAGTGCCCCGGCATCGGTGTGGCCTGATACAGGGGCTGTCCTGACCGGGAGGAGGAGCTATGTCCCGAGTGATGCCCTCCCGGCTGAGTGCGCTCCCGTCTCTCAGACCCTGTGTGCCGAGTTAAGCCATGTAAATGCGTCCTGCGGTAGGATCTCCCCGTCTCCTCAGCCCCTTCCCTGGCCTTAGACGTGGCTGTGGGAGACCACATGAGATCACGCTGCTCCTGGCACCGCTCCTCCTGGCACTCACAAGAAGACGCAACTGCAAAGCTCTCCTGTGAGTTTGGAGATAAGCGCTTGGTGCTTCGGGGAAGCACTGAGAAAGAATCAGAGTAGAAAACCGCACGGAGAGTGATTGTTTCATCCTTTCATTTTAGAAGCGAGGAACTCAAGACATCACCCACGATTCTTCCTTTACTATCTCTGTGTTTGAACCCAGCTGTACGCCCAACCCCAAGCTCCTCCCGCCTACGACCTGGGCTCTTCTCGGGGTTATCCTGGTGGTGCTAGTGCTGCTGGGCCTGTTGTCCTCCATCCTGACGCAACTCAAAATCCTGGTGGCCACGTCCTTCTACCCCAGCGTGGCGAGGGAGCGCACCCTATCCCTGCATGCAAAGCTGCTTAGGAAAAGATCAAAGCAGCTGCCAAGAGAAGTCGAAAGGAAACAGAACCTGTACTTTACAGAGGTAAGGCCGACGTGGGAGCGTAACTTCTAATTACGCTGGGGTCCAGTGGGAAGGGCAAAGGGAAAGAGGACTTTAAAGCACTCTTTAACTTCACTCTGGGGCTTGTATCCCAGCAGGAGGGAGAGCACTGAGGGGAAATAACACACAGCTAGGGCTCTTAGCACTGTGGTTTGAATACTGGGCCAGGAGTCTATGCCATACCCTTCAAAATATTGGCTTCAAGTAAGTGCCTTCAGCCACATCACAGAGAGGCTATTGAGAAGGCCCTCTGCACTGGTTACTAAAGGACAGTGCCCACTTTGCAAGGTCAAGGATAAAGAAAAAATATGGAAGGAAGTCTCTACAACTCAGTAAACTTCAAAGAATTTGCTTATTCTTCTGGGTTATTTTACAGACACGCACACAAACATAGTGTCTCCCATGGACATACAGAAATGATCATGCCAAAGATTTTGTTTTACTCGTGAGGAAAGATAACTGTAACCAATTCAAAGCACACACAGACACACATGGACACACACATACACCATATACACACATACACACATACCACGCACACACACACAGGTCACCAGGGATTCAGAATGAATTTGCTTAACAGCCGCAGCTAGAACTGGTTCCTTCCTCAAGGGTGATTGGGCAGAGTTGGTTGTGCCCTCTGTAGGTAAGGTCGTCTTCATATTATGGATCAGAGTCCCTGGCATTGTCACTACTGGCCAGCTGCAACTTACAGAACTGGAAAAGAGTTCACAGCAATAAACCAAGACAACCCATAAAATATGCTTTTCTGTCCATTTTAAAGCCTGCAATTTTTCCTAAGACCAGTAGCCCCGTAATAAGAAGTTCATGTCAGAGAAGTTTACTTGGAATGACTTGTTCATTCACCCACTTTTCAGGTTCATTTCTGGCTTCCAGTCCTGAGAGTGATGAGGAGGAAGCACATGGAGGTCGCACCTGCAGACCATCTCTAAGGGAGGCTGAGCAGCTCAGCCGCGCGCACCACTCTCTGGACACTTGGTTGGCACTGCCTGTGCTCAGCAACTGAAGGCTGCGTTACAAAGTCGTCCAGGGTGTGACTTCGTGGGGTCACCTTATGTCCCTGGTTGTGGCCCCAGACTGCTCATCACAAAGCCAGACGGTTACCAGGAAATGCCTATGTGGCCTGTTTTCCAAACAAAGCATAGGATCTAGACTGCGTCACTGTATAACAGGACTGTATCCAGCCACTTTTCTGATGAGTCTCAACAGAGAGCACTACTCAAAGAAAAAAAAAAAAAAAAACAACTGACATCCCTACCACAGTGTCACAGGCAGTGCCAAGGAAAACACCCATGTATAAAACCAGCAACACACCTTTAAACTCTTATTGCCTTTCGTGGGCATTCCCTCCCCCACCAGGGTCCCCCCCAAGCCCCTGATTCAAACACTGTTTCTGAACCCACTTCCGTCATCTCCCAGTTTCTCCTCACCACTGCTGCCTCTCCGACACCCCATTTGCCCGTGTCTCTCTTGCTGTCTCTTCCAGCAAATCATCCAGCCTGAGATTAATGATCGAGTCACCTAGAGACCACATCTGTCAGAGTCATCTGACAGACTTGTTAAAATGCGCTTGTTAAAATCCTGAGCTTCTTTTTATCTTTAACTATCTCAAAATAATGAGGAAGGATAAACTCTCCTTGAATACTGATTCTATTATCTTGAAAGTGCCAGGATGGGGGAAATTATTTTTATTTAACATTTTGAAAAGCTTTTCCTTTTGAATAATCTCAGACTTACTAAAAGTTGCAAAAGCAGTGGACTTCCATGCACCCTTCACCATCACCCCAGGTGTGAGCATCTCCCGTGACCATGGCATAGTTCTTAAAACCACAGAAACGGCATTGGACAATGCATGATCTACAGAATTCATGCAGTTTTTGTCATTTATCCCACTCATGGCCCTTTCATGGTCCTTGATGCAATCTAGTCATCTCCTTTCTTCGTCCCATCCAACTGGGGACAGTTCCTCAGTCCTTTTCTTTCATGACTTGACACCTCTGCAGAGTACTGGCCAGGTGTTTTGTGAAATGTTCGTCAGCTGGGTTTGCCTGATGTTTCCTCTAATTACAGCCAGGTGCAAATGCATTTTTGGTGCAAATACTACAAAAGTTGTAAGATGCCTTTCTTTATGTGTCATAGAGGGCAGTCCACAATGTCCACACGTGTCAGGGAAGGTTAGTTTTGGTCATTTGGTTAAGGTGTTATCGGCCACCAGATTCTTCCACTGCAAAGTGGTTGTCTTTCTCTTCGTGATAAATAAGCATCTCATGGGGAGATACTTTGAGACTATGTACATAAACTGTGCCTTATATTTTTGCCCTCTGATTTTAGCATCTGTGGATGTAAAACTTACTACTCTGGTGATCAGATAGTGATTTTTCTGTCCCTACATTTTCTTCTCCATGTCTCATTGCAGTTCTGCTCTAAGGAACAACAGTGTCTCAGCACATCCGTGGTAAAAATGGCTCTCACCTTGGTGGGACCGCACAGGCTCCATGAGCTTCCCAGACGTTGGAACCTGAGGAACCACCAGGCCTTGTCCACTGAGCCTGCACCCTTGGCCCTATAAATGGGCCAAACATGCGGCATTTGTGTGCTGGGATCTGGGTTGTTTATTATTCACTGCAAACTCAAGCCTATCTGCTCAAAGGCCTACCCACAGCACCGTGTTTTTACCTGTCAAATTCTTTCAAAAATCCTGCAGACAAGCCTCTTTGAAGCCATCTCCAGGCAGCCCATTTTGCATACCCCTAAACCTCTCCTCACATCTGCTGGCTCCAAGATCCCAACCCACTGTAGCTTTGCATTCTCTGACCAAGGCCTTCTCCACGGTGCTGCTGAGCAACACCTCAGGGACACACTGACCCCTCCCTGGCCCGGGGAGATCCCTGAACCTCTCCCTCTGGGTGGTCCCATGCCCTTTTCCAGTGAGCCACCTGATTAAGGTAATTGTGTTAGTGCCTCCCCTAGTGGTCACATCTTTTCCCAAGATCAGTCCCTAAGTCCCTCAACCTGCTACAAGACAATGTCTCTGTGCCATAAGGTATGAAAATCAGGTGTGAACAGGTCAGATAAATCACCAGAGGTTAAAACTGTTAGCACGCTGTATTAGTCAGCTTTCCCTTTACTGGGTCACAGTACCTGCCACCCACAGTTTAGAGAAGGAAAAGCTTAACGAGCTCACAGTTTCAGCAGATTCAGTTCATGGTCAGCTGTCTCCAAGGGAGAAACGTCGTGGCAGAAGGGCCTGGTGGAGCGAAGATGCGTAGTTGACGGTAGCCAGAAGGCAGAGCAGGGAACAGTGCCAACAGGAAGGGGTGAAGAATCAATATAGTGTCCTGGATCCACCTGGACACTCCAAAGTGTGCTTTACTAATCCCTCAGTGGCTTCCAAGGCAGTCAGATGACACAGTTAAGCTTAATGACGATGCATGTGATGAAATGTGAACACAAATTCTTTGTAGTCTATTGATTTTGCCAACCTTGGTTAAGGACAAAGAGATCAGCTTTCTTGGCCAGTGATTGTCAAACTGTTCGCAATTCCTGGATGCACAAGCATCCTAAAAATTGCTGCTGCCCAGCCTCACCCTCACAGACCCTGACTTTGCTGAAATAAGGCCTGGGCATTGGCATGTTGGAACCTCCTTGGTGATTCTAATGGGCAGGTAGGATTGAGAACCACTATTCCAAGGAATCTTACAGAATTACAGGCCTTCAGTGGTGAAAATTCTTCAATGCAAGGAGCCTGCATTAGAAATCTGTCTGGCTCAGCATTCTCAAAGTGTGTTCCTCTGGCCACTGGCCAGGCCTTCCGCTGCTTCACAAAAAGAGTGATGAAGAGCACATTCTTCAGCAATTTGCACTGTCCGTTTCTACCTTGGAGTTACACAAAGCACATTGGAATAATGAAAACCATAGAGAAATCGTATGGTAACATTGAGAAATTCTAATAATAAATATATAATATTACAGATTATGATAACTATAATAACAAATTTCTTTCAATCTGTGTCACCCAGAATTTCCTCTAATTATTAAACCATGGAAAATTCTACCTGCAGTAATTATTAACATCATGCAGGACCAGTTCTATGGCCCCTGCTTTGGTGTATGCTCATGAAATTGGCATGACTGTTAGCTGAAAAATCATTGGAAAGCATGAGGACACATTTGGGATCTTGGCTTATGTAAACACTTGTAATTGTATCCATTGCTGTATTTTCTTCTGTGTTTTCTCATTTGTTTGTGTTTGTGGTATTAGGGACGGAACCATGGCAAGTGCCAGGCAAGCTAGGTGGATGCTCTACCACCCCAGCCATGTCACGCTTTCCAAACAAATCCATGCCTGCATGATGGGTGAATTTGTGTTTGCATTTTAAACTTATCCCTCCTACAGCGATCTACTCCACATTAACCAAGGCAAAGAATCTACTGTTCAAATTGTTAGAGATTGCAGGTTGCTTTTGAGGTTCTGAATTCTGTTAAAGAACATACTATTTACCAACAACATCACCAACATCCAGAGCAAACATTTGACCAAAGCCACATAGAAGGTTCTGGTGATGCTCAGAAAATCACCTTGATGCCTGCTTTTGGCAGACCTGCTTTTGCTCCCAATCCACTCAGCTAGTCAAACGGATGCTTTGCCAATAAATAGAAATGTGCAGCAGCTTTAGGAAAGCACCGAGGGTGGGGACACGTGGCATTGGCAGCCCTGGTGGGGTTCTGGGCATCGCCCACCTCAGGTGCCCAGCCCACCCCTCTTCTCTGTAACGAGGGCCCCAGAGAGGTGGGAGAGTCTCTCGATGTCTTTGAGACCAGACCTCCCTTTCTACAGCAGCTAGCTCTGCTGCCTCCAATGACTTTGAGCTGGTCACAGCGCTTCCTGTGTCCCTTTTCCAGGCAAGTCTGTCCTTACTCTGAGGTCTCCTCCTGGGTAGGACAGACTGGCCAGGACGGGCTGCCGGGAAGGGCTGTTTTGATCATGGAAACAGGATCTGGACTTGCTCATTAGGGCCAATCTAATAAGGACATATAATGCTTCTTTAATTGCAGCTTATCACTTTTGATTTAAATAAATTGCTGGTAAAATCCCTTGAGACATCTATTGTGAAATGTGCCCTGTTAATCTTGTAGAGGCAGAAAGATCCTGCTCAAGGTAATTTCATAATGCTTTCTCTTTTCACCTCTAATTTTATTGGCCTATGAAAGTATATTACATTACAGCCTAAGTCATCATTTCCCATCTATGAATCCCAATTTGGTGCCCTTTTTTTATGGGGTCTTCCAAGGGTCATTGTGCTGACCTCATTGGCCCCACATGTGCTGTCAATAGAGCTTGTCCTTGAGAATAAAATGTAGTAATTCTAAGTACCTTCATACCATAGTAACAGATTTCACTTACTGTTCTACTTGGTATGTCAAACATTATCTTTCCTCTTAGATTCTATGTCTCCTGCTTTCTCTGTTCAGATCTAATTAATTGTAATTATAATATGGGGTATGTTAACGTCTTCTCACATATGTTTTCGTCTTAATTGCCTAAGAGGAAGAAATACACATACCTTCCTGTAAGGGAGTGTGCTGCTTAATCTTGATTGTCACCTTGGCTGGATTAAGAGACCCTGGAGAGCTGACTGGGTTGTGAGGGCATTAATCTCATCAATGGGTTAGCTCTTCGATGAGTTAATAGCTGAATGAGCTCTTAGGATGTGGGGCCTAGTTGGAGGAACTTGATGATGGGGGGGTGGCCTGGCGGACTATATCTGGTCCCTGGTCCTGTCCTCTCTGGTTCATTCCCTGCTCTCTGGTGGCAGAGTTGAGCAGCTTTGCTTCACCATGCCCTTCTGCCATGATATTTCAGCCTTGAAGCCAGCCAACCATGGACTGAACCCACTGAACTACCATGCCAAATTAAACCTCTCCTCCTTTAAATTTTAAGTGTCAGGTATTTTGTCCCAACAATGAGAATGCTGGCCAAGCCAAGGAGTAAGGGTTAGTAATAGTGATTCTCAACAAGTAATGAGATCACTGAAGCCAATTATTTAAACTATACAGTGGAAAAGAGAGGGACTGGATGATCACGAGTGGGGTTTGAGTGTAGATATGTATCTACATTTAAACATCTGTTATATTAGACAAATAGAGCTGCTGTACCATGCAAGGGAAAGGCCTGACTCAGAGTTTAAAACCCCTTTTGGAGCAATTTGAATATATGCAAATGGAGGGTGAAAAAGATGACAACAGAAATAAAAGTACAACTCCCTGGGGTCCCTTTAGTTAAAGCCAAAAGCATTTGCACTGCTTTCCTGGGTGCTGAGGACATGCACAGTGTGGTGTGTGGGGTGGTCTTATCCTTGTCCCCAGCCTCATTTGGCAAAGACAAGAAAGGGTGTAGCCATTGATTGCATCTTGGGGCTCAGGAAGTGGACAGCTTTGAGGACTCAGAGGACCAGAGGGTGGAAACAAAGATGCACCTCTCATGCTCTACAGTCGTGGTTTCCAAATGATCATCAGAATCACCTGAAGAAGTAAAAATAAAAGATAATAAAATTATAAATTCCCAAACCTAATCCCAGAGAGACTGGATGCCCCCCTAGCCCGCATGCACTCAGAGGGGGGCTTTTGGAGCATGACTGGACTGTGGGGGCTTATAGCTGACTTGTTAAGTGGGATCTGGAGTCACTGGGGGTGTCCCTCCCTACTCCTTTCTTTTCTCTCTCTCTTTCTACTTCCTGTCCACCCTGCCCTGATCATCACACCTCTGCCAGGTCCCTCTGCTACACTGCACTGCCTAGGAGCCAGCTGACCACGGACCAAACCATGAGCCAAAAGAACTCTCCTCTCCCTTGAGTAGTGGGTATCAGTGTTGCATCTCACCAACACGGGAAGTGCGTAGAACCCTGACTTAAATAGTCAGGAAGGGCCCTAGGATCCCGTATTCTTGGGAACTTCATCCATGAGTTGGACATGAGTGGTAACCATGGATTTGGTTGCCACTGGTTTAGAGATGAGGGAGGGCTTAGCCTTGGAGATGAGGGAGGGCTGATTAAATAACACATCTAGACAGCGTCTAGGTAATTTGTACGGACACACAGAAAACTTCCACCTACCTTGCTGAGCCACTACTCTTCTCCAAGAGGGTAAAATGCTCACCGCCTGTCAGGAGCTCTCCAGTCCTCCTGGCCTGCAGTCTAACACACAAATCCGGGTGGGCAGGCACCCAAGCAAAGGCAAAACCCATGATGACCCCATGTATAGGACAGTTTTTGCCTATAGTTAGCTATTTATTAAATATGAATTAGTATCCAATAGTATTTTTTAATTAAACTCTTGCATTTAGGGAATAGTAGGTCACATTTTTC